GGTATGACTAACTACAAGAAAGTAGTACCTTCAGCTGAGGTACGACTAACCTACAATACAAGAAAGTAGTACCTTCAGCTATCATACCTTTGTATTGTAGTTAGTTAGCTGAAGGTACTACTTTCCAAACATTGCTCACGCCATCTATTTGTGTTATTATATTTCGGAACCTTGAAGACTGGTGGTGTTTCTTAACTTCAAACATCGCTCACGCCATCTGTTTTTGTTATTATATTTCGGAACCTTGAAGACTGGTGGTGGTTGTTAACTTCAAACATCGCTCACGCCATCTATTTGTGTTATTATATCTCGGAACATTTAAAACTGGTGGTGTTTCTTGAAGCTTCAAACAACCACTGCTCAAGACAGGGAATCCAAGAATTGTGGCTTTGAGAAACTTTCAAATTGGAGAAAATTAGCTGAGACTTTTCACACAGCAGAGAAAATCACGATTTTTCTTAAATATTATTTTAAACACATACTCACATGAATTATTATTTAATAATAAAATTATAACTTGTAGGATAAAGTAAGAAAATTTTAAATTGCTAATGCTATTGACATCTTAAGGTTTTCGACACCATGTGGCGCTTTATGCCTAGGTAAGGTCTTGTAAAATATTTGTATGAAGTCTTTGTCACTTGGGGTGTGTATTAGTAGGATAATTTTCTAGTACTACGCTAGTAGATTGTTTATTTTTTAAGTGAAAAATATCAATCTAGGTTCTAAGATTTTCTGACCAGAAATTTTTGGCGGTATAGGTTCTTCTGCTCAGTCGTCTGTCACTTTGTAAAAGCAAGTTTGACGCCATTATATAGTCGTCTTGAGCTATCAAGAACTACATTTTCTGACGTCATCAGATGTCTCCATTGAACTTCTGGATATGCTTGGTATTTCTTCTAGGCCTAAATGAATTCGGTTACTCGCTTGGTAAGTCATCAAAATATATAAGCATGTTGTTCTTACTTTTGTGTCTTAAAACATTCGTATTATTTCTCTATTTAAAATGTTGCAATATAAAACTATACGTGTATTAAGAGCTCTCGGGTCAACATCACGTGAGAAAACTGATGTATACGATATTTGTAGAATTAACTTTAGGCTATAGCTGGTAAGTTAGTGTCACGATTTGTGACTGCGACTGTACTGAAATCATAATATAGTATCGCTAAAACAATAGTCTCGTGGGAGTACCAACTTTTTATGTTTACTAGATCCACCGAAGATACTGCCGTTTCGGTTTCCCAGAAACGTTGAACTCGGAACCCAGATACCTGTCACGTGTGGACTCTCAAGGGGATCTTTACCTGTGGATTTTGTGTGGAAGCGAAACGAGATACAGTTGGTGGAAGTCAAAGCAAAAATTGAGTTGTTAAGCTACGCCGCAGTTTCAAATCTAATTGTAAAGAACGTAGATGGACGCGATATGGGTAATTATACTTGTACTGCCAGTAACGCGGCCGGAGAAGACAGCTACACCACCCAACTTGTAATAAAGGGTAAGCGTTGATTTTATTTATTCAGTGTTTGTTATGTTAAATAAATGTTGGATTCATACACTCGGTTATATTCTGTTCCTCGTGATTGGCCAGTTACTGCCAGTAACGCGGCCGGAGAAGACAGCTACACCACCCAACTTGTAATAAAGGGTAAGCGTAGATTTTATTTATTCAATGTTTGTTATGTTAAATAAATGTTGGATTCATACACTCGGTTATATTCTGTTTCTCGTGATTGGCCAGTTTCTTTAGACTTGCTACTTCCAAATATCCAGGTGTTCGGGCAACATTACTACATCATTCAATACGACCTAGTGTTTGATCTACTAGAACAACTATTTAATATATAGTAACGATTACAAGCAAGAAGTAGTGATCTGATTCGACGTATTTGGCGCGTGTTTCAAACGAACTGAACAATGTTTCATTGTTGTTTGTTAGGAGTTCCTGTAGTTGTACACAATAAGATAATACTGTGTGGGATTCTCGACAATAATAGGTAGGAAAAACGACCTGTATTTTATACAATAAAGAAAAAAGATTTTATTACAATCTACCATTCTCGAGCGGCTTCATCGGGCATGTATAAAAACATTGTATTGCCTCTACTGTCTATGTATTATTTGTGTGAATTATGTATCAAATATTGTAAATTTTTCATTTGAAATAAAACCTTTTTTTTTGCAAAACGAGTTCAGATTTAATACTTCTTTTGCATTTCGGTGTACGTAACCAATTAATGACGTCACTTTTTTCTATAGGCCTAACTTTTTACACACTTAACAAAGCAAGTCATATTCTTCTTGGAACAATTAGTATGTAATAAATAATAAAATTATCACAATTTTACGAACATTAATTTACTCACAGATGGCGCTTCAAAATTATCCTTACGTTCTCCCACAATTTGGTGGTCGTTAGTATTCATTCCTTCTGTTAACATCTTGATCTAGTTAAGTTAATTCATAATTCTGGAAGCTTCTACGGTAAAAAATATTTAAGATATTTTAATTACTGTTATACTATTATTTCTACTCTTGTGTTAACTTCCACGATTCTCGAACCTTAACCGAGAACCATTTTGGTAATCGACCTGTAACATCATAATAGAAGCTTGCCGCCATTTTGGTAATCGACGTGTGACATCATAATAGAAGCTTGCCGCCATTTTGGTAATCGACGTGTGACATCATAACAGAAACTTGCCGCCATTTTGCTTCCATCTTCACTCGACTGGTGGTGTGATTTCTTTAGACTTCACCATGAGGAAGAAAATGAACTTTTTTACTCTGTGTTTTGTCGAAGTGTTATTTATATCATTTAATGACGGTAGAGGTAAGTTATTACAACATTTAATTTATTTAATAGTTTCAGCGAATTAAAGAAAAGAATACAACTTTTTTTTCAAAATAAAAGACTGAGTGTTTGGTTACGTCGTTGTGTAATGATACAAATAGAATATTTTATTTATTGTACTTTTACGTTCATTTTTAAATTGTATTAAATAATTATTTAACATTTCATGTAATGCTGAAACCTATCCTTGAACATTGTACAGCCAGTTAATAATTTACCTTCGTACAGAAATATGTTAAACAGTTGTGTTATCCATGAACATTGTACAGCCAGTTAATAATTTACCTTCGTACAGAAATATATTAAACAGTTGTGGTGCTGTTTGGTGATGATTGGAAACCCGATTGTTTAAACGTTGTGGTGCTGTTTGGTGATTATTGGAAACCCGATTGTTTAAACGTTGTGGTGATGATTGAAAACCCGATTGTTTAAACAAATTGTTTAACAGTTGTGGTACTGTTTGGTGATTATTGGAAACCCGATTGTTTAAACGTTGTGGTGCTGTTTGGTGATGATTGGAAACCCGATTGTTTAAACAAATTGTTTAACAGTTGTGGTGCTGTTTGGTGATTATTGGAAACCCGATTGTTTAAACAAATTGTTAAACAGTTGTGATGCTGTTTGGTGATTATTGGAAACCCGATTGTTTAAACGTTGTGGTGCTGTTTGGTGATTATTGGAAACCCGATTGTTTAAACAAATTGTTTCTATTTTAGATTTCCCAGTTATTTCGCCGTTTACGTTTCCGACAAACGTTAGACTTGGGGAACAAGTTCGTGTTTTTTGTACAGTTCGACGAGGAATTCCTCCTTTCTCGTTTGCATGGTTTAAGGAGGGGGAGAAGCTGATTACTGGACAACATATTGAAGTTGAAAATACGGACAAGTACACGAGCAAACTAGGGATTCTTAACGTGTCCACTTTGGACATTGGGAACTACACTTGTGAAATAACGAACCAAGATGGTAAAGACAGCGCCACGTCGCGGCTGATTGTAGAAGGTTTGTGTTTATTATAACAGTTAAGGCTGATACGTGGAAGTAGAGAATGTTTCGTAGAATGATTCTTTTGTTGTGACAATATGTTCTGGCATTTCGATGACTACTGGAAGAAGTGCATTAGCGCCCTCTCGTGTGTGCACTCGTAAATATATAAAGTGAATGTGAACGTGGAAAAATAAAAAAATACACGTTATAAGTACACATTTAGCCTTTGGCTATATTTGGCGCAAATAATTTAAAATACATTTTTATTATTATTATTATGATAAACCAAAAGAATGCTGCCGCTGTGCGTCGCCTTACTTTCTTTGTGAGACAGCTTTGTGTGGCGTTCGTTATTAAGTGAAACGATTTAGCCTAGAACATTTAGGCTTAACGTGTATGTTATTGTGTCATTTTCTGAGTTATATTTATAGAAATAATTCGACTCCTGACCGAAGAACGTTTCTGTAATTCTCCATATTCTGTTTTAACAACACCGTTTATTTATCTGCTGCTACTTTTTACGACATCAGAAAATGGCGGCTGGATTGATTCTACTTAACTTAGGGTTACTTATCAGCACTGCTGGCACAGTGGAAGGTAAGGATATCTTCACTAAACTGCTGTTCTATAGAAATATAACTATAACTGGGGATCTAATACATGTGAATTTGTAGGTTAATTATAACGTAATCAACTTCGGTAGGGGATTTTGAAAGTTTGGTTTTGATATGTTTAACCGTAAAAACCATGTTTAATATTGATTAGTGGCCTGTGACCATTTTGTCTCGATAGTTAAGTTTTTATTTGTTAATTGACTTCAAACTAGTCTTAAGTTTTAACAAATTTGGCTACTTATCTACAATTACATTTGAGGTTGTTAGTGGGATTCGAGTCTTGAATCTTAAGGAAGGCAGTAGTTCTTGCGTGATGACAACTAATTAGTTGCCAATGTTAGTTTCGTACTTCACTGTATACGTTAGTCATTGCTCATTATTTAACTTCTAATTTCAATATTTCCACCAGACTCTCCTGAAATTCAAGCTTTCAGCTTTCCAGATATACCACATTTGGGAACCTTAGTTCACGTAACGTGTGCCATTACCTCTGGAAGTCAGCCGGTTAGTTTTACCTGGTACAAGGATAACAAGACACTAGAAACCTCACAGAAACTTGACGTTTCCAAACACCAGAGATTTAGTGTTTTGGAGATTGGGAAGCTGGAGGCCTCGGATAATGGGAACTATACGTGTATAGCTCGCAACTTGGTAGGTCAAGATAGCTTCTCGGCTTCATTAAGTGTCCGAGGTAAGGAAATTGTATGTAAAACAGAGACATCTTCAGATCTCACGTGCATATTAACACCTTAAAATAATATTATAATCAGTAATTCAGTTTTATGTACGATTTGAATAGTGGTAAAGATATTACCATCCGAAAGATCCACGAACGGATCATTCATGTATTTATCATCGAATAACAATAGATCCAGTGTGTGTGTGATAGGTTTATTTGGTTGATATTTACCGAAATCTGAATATTCTTTGAAGTAAGCCTAACTTGTATATTATCTCACAGTTTAACGTATACTAATTTTAACAGTATGTTTTAATAGCTGCGTTTGTTTTGTTTTTAATTTAAAGTCTGTTAAACAAAGGCAGGTGAGGTATTTTTCTGTGTCCGGAAGGTACCACTATGTGGCGCTGCAGTTGTATATTCTGATTATTAGTTTTATGACGGTCGTGTGGTGAGACCACAGCATTGATTTCCTGTTCGCTCGACATACTATATATAAACAGTGCTTGAGGTTAATTACAGTTTTTATAAAGCTACATAGGTTATTATTAATCCTTGGGGTGACAAACAGATTTCAATTGTTCGAAGTTTTTCCCCTGCCCACTACAGTCACTCTGGTCATTAGATTTCGGTACACGGAGTTTTGCGTGTGCGCAGTCTGACGTCACATAATGGCGGGGACTCTGTGTTTTCTTGGTGGATTGATGTTTCTGAACGCTGTAATCAAGCTGGTTGAATGTTTAGGTAAGTGTGTTTTAAGGCAAGTTAAACATACCTCAGCTGAAGGTACTACTTTCTTGTATTGTAGTTAGTCGTACCATGGCGTGAGCGATGTTTGAAGTTAATAAACACCACCAGTCTTCAGGGTTCCGAAATATAAGAACAGAAATAGATGGCGTGAGCGTTTTGTTTGTTTTTTAATTTCGTACGAAGCTCCTCGAGGGCTATCTACACTAGCCGCCCCCTAATTTTGAAGTGATAGTCCAGAGGGAAGGCAACACCAACTCTTGGGTACTTCATTTACCGACGAAAAATAGGACTGACCGTTACATTATAACACCCCCACAACTGAAAGGACAAGCATGTTTCAAGTCCAAGACTTGTAAATGATATGTCTGGATTGGGGAAGTGGATATTTGATATAAACAAGCGAAAATATTTGGAACTAGTCATAATACATAGGTTAAAAAAACAGTTCAATAATAATACAATTACTCAACACTCCACTAATTAAAGGATGAAACACACACTTGATCGATTTACCAAACCCACCACTTGTAACGTGCGGTTTGTCAAACAATGTGCCTAGCAGCACTGGGACAAAAAAAAAAAACTGTTTCGTGATGTGTTACTTAACACCATTTATACTTCAGACTTTGAATAGAACACAACTAAAACTCGTTAAGTTGTGTATAATGAACTGTTTTATAATTTATTTCCACAAATCGGTCTTTTAAACATTTAATTAAGACGTAAACTTGCCAAAGTTCACATGATTGGAAATACATATTTTGAATCATTCGATCGTCGCGCCATCTATTGGCATGCATATTGCTACAGTTTTTATTTCAGGTCCGGTTTCGCGAAAAACTACACAAGGTCTATCTGCGCTATCCGCCCCTAATTTAATAGTGACGTACTAGACGAAAGGCATCTAGTTAACACCACCGACCGCCAACTCTTAGGCTATTCTTTTACCGAGGAATAGTGGAAATGACCGTTACATAATAACGCCCCAACGGCTGAAAGGGCGAGCATGATCGGACAAGGATTCGAACCCGCGACCCTCAGATTGCGAGTCAAGCGCCCTAACCATCACCATCCCACTTTTATTTTAGGTATTTATGGTAGAAAATCACGACGTTCACTTGCTACACAGTAGACGAATTGTTTAGTGTTCTTATAGTTTCACGACCTCGTCAACTGATTACATCATATATCAATAATAGTGATAACTTGTAAGTTTGTTACGTGTCAACAAGAACTCCAAAATGGATTTAGGCACACCTATTTCCATCACTTTGTTACGTGTCAATTATACCTAAAAACAGCTGTTACATTGTATGTCTTTTCTTGCTTGTTTCAGAACAAATGTTACACGAAGTGATACCTTAAGTTTGAGCTGACAGATTAGAGGGAAGGTAGCTACTTAAAATACGCCAACCGCCAACTCTTAAACTACTTTTGTCTGATTGAATGCCAGGATTTGATCTCTTTCATGACGCACACAGATCGAAGTTGCGGAGCGCATTTTTGCGGCAACGAGCTTCGAACTTGGAATTCTTGGTTTGACAGTCGGAGTACGCTAACAACTCGGTCTGTCCTCTTGCACTTGTCTATTTATCTTACAATTTCTTCTACTCTATCAACAACGAACGAACGAACCTGGTATCTGTGAATTAAACCACTCTCTAGCCCAGCGTTTCTCAAACTATTTTAATATTGGGTGGAGAAATTTTTGTGTGTTGTGTTGTATCAGCTCATTTTAATATTGGGTGGAGGAATTTTTGTGTGTTGTCTTAGCCGTTTTAATATTAGGTACGTTATTTTGTTCTGTACTTTTGATCCTGTCATATAGACTACTATGAACTTGAAGTTCACTATAATTTCTTAGTTTATCACCAGTAGGCGCTGGCGACGATCTTCCATATTCTCCGTTAACAGTTTGTTCTGTATTCCGGTGAGTTTATAAGCTCAAAACTAAAGAGCAAGAAGAAATATTAATTTTTGGAAACTTCGAGAACAAGTACACTACTATTTCGGGTTCCATCGAATAAAGAAAACAGTTCTTTTGTTTCGGACCTCGTGCCATACGTCACTATCAACTTTTACCGCCAAGTATCATCTGAGGAGCCAGTAAGTAAAGTTCTGGGTGTATTATATAAGTTGATAATTTTACAGTAATTATTCGCAAACATGTGATAATTCTAAGCTTTTTTTTTTTTTTCGGTAGATACGTTACAGGAGAGGCTGAAATAGTCTAATCGGTGGGAGAGAAAAGTCCTAAGTGTCATACAGAAACTTGTAGTACGCCTATTTGTGGGAAGATTGCAAGGAATTAAATCTGGTTGTAGTGAGAAATAGATCGGTTTAAGTACAATTTGTCACAAAAGTTGAGTGGCTGTTGACGGAAGGTGAGTTGTGGTGTTAAATCAAATAATTCGTAAATCGTTTTTTCTTATTCTATCGTTTGTTTTTGGTGTTTGAATTTTATCTTTTCTTGTTCTAGCTCGTTATGTAGTTAAGTTGAAGAAAAAATAGGCTTAGGCTAAGTATCTGTGTAAAGAATTTAGTTTAAACATCTCCCATGTGGTGGCGCGTTTAGATGAAAAGCTTATTAAGCTATATATGTTTAATATATTTTTTGTACATTAAAATCTAGTTGTGATTAAATGGGATTGCAGCATTAAGAATGAATGTTAAACTTATTAGCGTGAATTATCTTCACGATATTAAGCCTGAACTTGTTAACATCCTTTGTTTTTTGTTTTTTCTCTCTGTTGGATAACAAATGACTTTGAATAGTTTTACACATATTGGAATTTTTTTGTATTTCATAATCTTTCCACTTTCGGTATTCGATAGAAAAAAAATGCCTAGCTCAGAATTCGTACACGGTAGATGGCGCTTTCGAAATTACTAATCTCTTGTATACAGTGACAAGCACTCCAAGGTTTGTGCTTTACTAACTAATATTGATAATTTTATGCACGTAGATATATTTTGGCAGATGGTAAATCTGAAATCCCTTACAAGTTTGAGTGTTAACCTTTGACGTTTTCTTAACCCAAGTATCTTTGAGGAGCCATTAATTTTTGTTGGTGTGGAACTGGCGTAGACAAGTTGTGACGTCATCTTCTTCATGTGCAAATGGCGGCGAAACTAATCTCGTGGATTTTTCTTGGTGTAGTCATCATAGTGCGTGCAGTAGGTAAGAAAATGATGAAACAAAAGTGTTAAGTTCATAATATTAGTTTAGGGTGGGTTTATTTGTTTCTTTTTGTTCAGTAACAACATTTAATTTGTTTGAAATGTTTATAAATATTCAGATGGTAACGTTTGTATTGCTGGTTAATGGTGGTGTAAGTCTTTCAGGTATGTGAACATTTGTTGCATTTTAGGTATTGTTACCGTTTTATGTTCAACAGATGGCGTCGTTTAATTAATTCTTCTTGACATTGATCCCGGTGTAATTTTATATTTTGACTGTAAATAGTTCTACTTTATGTTTTGAAGGTAGAGAGGTTTTATTAGACCTACTTCAACGTTTGGCCACTAATTAATTATTGTCGTGTAAATACCATTATTAATCATTCCGTTTTATGTTCAACAGATGGCGTCGTTTAATTAATTCTTCTTAACATTGATCCCGGTGTAATTTTATAGTTTGTAAATAGTTCTACTTTATGTGTTGAAGGTAGAGAGGTTTTATTAGACCTTCTTCAACGTTTGGCCACTAATTAATTATTGTCGTGTAAATACCATTATTAATTGGCTCCACTTTACGTGCATGTTGCCCAGTAGATAATCTAGAAGGAACTCGTCACAGACTAACCTCTAAACCTGCTTTTTTACAGAACCGCCCAAGATTTTACCCTTCCACTTCCTGAATGTGGAGTTCGGTGCCCAGGTTGTCGTCATATGTGGGCTTTCTAAAGGTTCACCACCAATCAAGTTTACATGGAAGAAAAATGGAAAAAGGCTTAGCCCCTCGGAAGATAAAATCGAATTTGTAACTTATGCTGATGTTTCGACTTTAAAAATAAAGAATTTGGAAGGCAGCGATTTTGGTAACTATACATGTGTCGCCAGAAACGACGCTGGCGAAGACAGCTACGCCTCTCAGCTGATTACCAAAGGTAGGAACTTGGAACAATTATCTCTCAGTTAGTTCTGGCTTATGGTTCTGTAACCACTTATAAAACCGATTATTGAAGTCCGTCGTGCCGTTTCTACGTGTATAATACTAGATATTTCAGAAGGACAACTTGTAACGATAAACATAACTTATGTACTACGTCGTGACACTGAAACGTATAATATTGCAACCTGAGGGTGGTTAGGTGTAAATGGAAGATACGCTCACAAAACAAATATTTTGGCTCATTATACATAGCCGCTAGAGGGATCTACTAGACCAGCGGTTCTCAAAGTTTAGTATTCAAAAGACCCATTTCAATTTACGATGTGTTCGTGAATCCTCAAAACCATCAAAGTTTTTGTCTTGAAAAAAATATTCCGTGTTCATGAAAAGATGTTATTCCAAAATTAAATGTTTTTGTAAGATTTAGTACAGGAGTCGCGGATTACGGGCTGATACAACACGACACACAAAAATTCCTCCACCCAATATTAAAACGGGCTGATACAACACAACACACAAACATTCCTCCACCCAATATTTTGGATTTGTTAGTTTTTACGACTTGTGTTCTCCTAAAATACTTACGTTAGTTATTATACTATTTTAAAAGTTGTCTCTCTGTACTTGTATGTTTTAGAACCAAGGCCGTTGTCTCTCTGTACTTGTATGTTTTAGAACCAAGACCGTTGTTTTTCTGTACAAAAATTGTAATTGAATAAGTTAAACTGGTATTGTTATATAATTTGTTTAGTGTTAGCTGGTATTGTTATATAATTTGTTTAGTGTTAGCTGGTATTGTTATATAATTTGTTTAGTGTTAGCTGGTATTGTTATATAATTTGTTTAGTGTTAGCTGGTATTGTTATATAATTTGTTTAGTGTTAGCTGGTATTGTTATATAATTTGTTTAGTGTTAGCTGGTATTATTTGTAGATTAAATTGATATGTTCTTGTTCATGCTATTCCGTCTTACGTATCCCTTTGTGTCTCAGTGGTAAGTCTGAGGGTTTATAACGTTAAAAATCGGGTTTTAAAACCCGCAGGGCACTAGTTGTATAGCTTTGCTCTTCATAACAAACAAACAAACATTCGGAAATAACTCGAATTCGTGTATTGTCTGATGTCTGTTAAAGTTTTGTACGTAAAAGCTACATTAGCTCAAAGAACAGAAAAACCCATCTGTTTACTGTCTCAAGAGGGCCTGTAGTCCTAGAAATCAACAATGATGAGTAGACGTAATGGTGCTGGAAAGCTGAGGCCTAGGTCTTTTTATATTTTTAGTGAAAGCGCATAAGATTACTTACCTTTTACTGTTCTGCATACCGAAGCTAATTGGCAGAAGATTTCGAGTTCGGATGGACGCCATTTTCTGTTAGTTCTGATCTTTATATTTCGTTAACCATTAGTTATGAAGTTAATATAGTTTGTTGATTTTAATATTCCAACTTTACTTGTTATTAGTTGTCACTATGTGGCGCTGTCATAGCTGGTCCTTTGACGCCATAGCTACAAAAGGATGGGAAGCAGTATTTATGTGGCTATCTTTGTACATAACCTGAAAGTTATTTTCGATATCTTAATGCCTGTTTCATACGTTGTTAGCATTATTTCTGTCAGTTAGTTAAATTAAAAAGTTCATACTTGTCTTGCTAACACGGAGAATTAAGGGTATCAAAATTATTACGGAACTTTGTGACGTCTATTTTATAAGCTAACAATGGCGTCTCTTTTGAGTGCCACATGTATAGTCTTCTACATTTATTGCGCATCTTTCGTGACATCTTCGGGTAAGAAATCATTTAATACTTACATTGAATTATATATTTAGGCTTAATAATTAATTATATGATATTCTATGTTTAGGTTTAATAGCAACTCTGGGATACATCTAAACATTATGTAATATCCTATGGTTAGGCTTAACAATCAATTTGGGACATCTAAATGTTTCAACCATTTCATAGCTGTCACCTTGTTTTTTTCGACATTCTGAAATTAATGCATGAGTTTTAAAGGTACTTTTTATTTTAGGTTAAATATTTTTCCTACCTGCTTATTAGTACTAAGGTGTGTTTATAAAGTGTTGGTATTTAGTCACTTAACAAGAATATTAACAGAGCACTGCTTTAGTTTCAGATCCTCCAATGATTCAGCCATTCAATTTCCCACCAAATGTTCACCTAGGATCACAAGCTCGTCTCACGTGCGTGTTGTTAAGAGGGACATTACCTGTCAGGTTTACGTGGAAGAAGAATGGTAAAGATATTAACTCTTCGGGAAAAATACTTCAGCTCATCAAACACGAAACGTTTCTGATGTTAGAAATAAAACCAGTTACTTCCGATCACACGGGTAATTATACCTGTGTCGCAAGGAACGCCGCAGGTGAAGATAGCTACACGGCACTGTTAGTAGTAAAGGGTAGGTGATATAAATGAAGGTCTGTAGAAACTGAATATACTGTAGAGTGGGTTGTTTCTATACAATAAACGGTAAACAATTCATGAATAATTTGTTTTGGAATAAATAGTGTAAACAAGAATTTACCTGTAGTTTCACACTGACGACGTTACAGACTTAGTGTTGAGTGCTTCTTTTAGACACTGTTTCTTCAGGTACTTCAGTGTCTAAACCTTTGTCATCAGATGTGTGTTTTGAAAGCTAGAGGAAAAGACTAATTTATATAGGTGCTATTTGTAGAACCCCAGTTCAGTTGTTCACTCACCCACCCACCCACCCCACTTGACCTCGATGAACAAAGCAGCTCTTCTGTGGTCGTTCTGAAGGGTCTCTTCCCGTTACTTCTTACACGTCCTAGTTCTGTTGTTCACTCACCCACCCACCCCAGTTGACCTCGATGAACAAAGCAGCTCTTCTGTGGTCGTTCTGAAGGGTCTCTTCCCGTTACTTCTTACACGTCCCAGTTCAGTTGTTCACCCACCCCACTTGACCTCGATGAACAAAGCAGCTCTTCTGTGGTCGTTCTGAAGGGTCTCTTCCCGTTACTTATTACACGTCCTAGTTCTGCTGTTTTAGAAATTAAAAAACTTGTTGCATCCCAGATTGAAAATTAAACTAGTGTTGTACTTTGGAGCCGTGTGTGCGTTGTAAGAGTAATAGTCAAATCTCATTATTCGGTCAGACAAGAGTAGCTCTAGAGTTGACGGTGATTGCTGCTAACCATTTACCATCCCTCATGTTTATCAGCACAAAAATTGTGTTGGCCATTTGGAAATATCTCTTTCTGTAACTTTGTTTGTCCTTGTCTGAAACATTCTCTTGTAAAATTAAAACCTACAGTGTTTGTGCATTAGAATGCTCTTTGGCCGAGGTAACCTGTAGTGAGAAATATAACAATTCTTATTTTATTTTTTTATGAAGTTCAACATTTTTAACACTAGGGGGCGTTTTGATTTTCCATCTGCATCCTTGATCTGTGTAGTACTGGCGTCCCTGTGTCTGTAATGTGATTTATGACCTATAGACTTAAGAGTTATAAGTTGGTGTACGGTTTTACATCGTTTTAAGACATCTAACCAGTATATTACTTCTAATTAAACTAGAACAGAATTACTTCTTCAAAGTCCTCAACGTTCTTTGTATTTGGGAATATGCGGATCGTGTGACGTCAAACAATGGCGACAGAAAGACTTAGTTTCGCGGGATTCTTGCTTTTTGCGAGCTCTTTGTTCTCTAGAGTAGCCACAGGTAAGTTATTATTTTGTTATTAGTTATCGACTTTTACATTCATAAGTTTCTTTGTACATTCGTTATACGTGTCCATTTTTGTCGTGTTTTTAGGAGAACCTCCAAAAATTCAGCCTTTTACATTTCCAATGCAAGTGGAACTAGGAACACAAACCAGCGTATACTGTGGTCTTTCTAAAGGAACAAGACCGATCGAATTTAGTTGGAAGAAGAATGAAAGGACACTTAAATCAGTAGACGGTAAAATTCATATCTTGACACCAGGTGGCTCCACTGTTCTTGAAATCCAAAGACTAGGTTCTTCGGACATAGGAAACTATACATGTATTGCTCGAAATTCTGCTGGAGAAGACGCTTATACGTCTAGCCTAGTGGTGGAAGGTAAGGTTAGTGAAGAGGGCGCTGTTTCCATCTAAATACTAGATAGATCGCGAAATACTTACTTGCCAAGTTATAACACCGAATCACTTGTCTTTTAAAGCCAGGAAGGAATTTTTGTGTGTTGTGTTGTATCAGCCCGTTTTAATATTGGGTGGAGGAATTTTTGTGTGTTGTATTGTATCAGCCCGTTTTCTTATGAAAATGAACTTACCCAATGATGTAACTTTTCTCGGGCCTATGCTGTATTTCTGAAACTATGATATCGTGACTCCACCGTAGTTGATCTTGTGAGGCCCGCGATCAAGTACGGTGGAGTCACGATATCATAGTTCCGGAAATACAGCATAGGATGCTGTATTTCCGAAACTATGATATCGTGACTCCACCGTACTTGATCTCGTGCCTATGCTGTATTTCCGAAATATGATATCGTGACTCCACCGTACTTGATCTCGTGCCTATGCTGTATTTCCTAAACTATGATATCGTGACTCCACCGTACTTGATCGCGGGCCTATGCTGTATTTCCGAAACTATGATATCGTGACTCCACCGTACTTGATCGCGGGCCTATGTTGTATTTCCGAAACTATAATATCGTGACTCCACCGTACTTGATCGCGGGCCTATGCTGTATTTCCGAAACTATGATATCGTGACTCCACCGTACTTGATCTCGTGCCTATGCTGTATTTCCGAAACTATAATATCGTGACTCCACCGTACTTGATCGCGGGCCTATGCTGTATTTCCGAAACTATGATATCGTGACTCCACCGTGTTTGATCGCGGGCCTATGCTGTATTTCCGGAACTATGATATCGTTACTCCA